AGTTTGAGATTATAATTAATTAATTATTATTATCTTGATTATTGTGTTGATATTGTGTTCCATTTTCACATTAGATCTCTGTAACGCACACAGTCTGTGTCAGTACAACAAAGCTTACTGACTCCTCTTAGTAAACACCTCTAACAGCTAACATGTTCAAAATAACACTGAACTACATGATAAGACTCTCTCTCTCTCTCTCTCTCTCTCTCTCTCTCTCTCTCTCTCTCTCTCTCTCTCTCTCTGTCTCTCTCTCAGGTGTGTTTCTTCGTGGCTCTGTATTATAACGTGATTATCGGCTGGAGTATATTTTATCTCCTGAACTCCTTCCAGAGTCCGCTGCCGTGGGAGAACTGTCCCAGAGAGGGGAACGATACAGGTGTGTGTTTGATTAATATACTAATCCAGCTGTTCTGCTTTCTTCAGTTTCTCTCTCTTTATCACGCTATCTTTCAGTTTCGTCTGTGCTGTGAGAGCCAGAATCGCCCCCTACACTTAGGGCTAAACTGCTGTAGCTGAATGGGTGGGGCTAAACTGCTGTTGGATGGATGGGTGGGGCCAGACTGCTGTAGGCTGAGTGGGCGGGGCCCTGTGATAAACGTTGCAATGACACATTTCACAAAGGCGTTAAAAGTACAGCTGAAATTTTAATCAGAGGTGTATTAGAGAATTAGAGATTATTAAGTGTTGGTGGTCAGTGATTGGTCAGTATATAACCCCCCCCTTTCCACACCGCCCAGTGGCTGAATGTGCTGCGAGTTCCCCCACCTCGTACTTCTGGTACCGCAGAGCTCTGGACATCACAGACTCCATCAGCGAGACCGGGCAGTTTAACCTGGTCATCACCGGCTGTCTGGCCATAGCGTGGATCATCGTCTGTCTCGCCATGTACAAGGGAATCAAATCCACCGGCAAGGTCAGACACTGTTCACTGAGAATGGACATAGATATTGAATCGGTGCTCAGTTAATGGTATATTTATTGATTTATCTGCTAATTGTTGATTGATATTAATTTAGGTCATTGATTATTTTGGAAGACTATTGATCGATTTTGTGGAATTAGTAATTTATGTGGGATTGTTGTTTAATTATAGGTGGTTGTGTATATTGATGTGTTCATCGATAGGTGATGATGATGATAGTAGTTGATGTTTGGTGTTTGATTATGGACTTGTAGCTGATGTGTTTACTGATGTATTGATTTATAGGTGATGTATTTCTCCTCGGTGTTTCCGTACGTGGTGCTGCTGTGTTTTCTGGTCCGAGGTCTGATGCTAGACGGAGCTTCAGAGGGCATCACATACATGCTGTACCCCAAGGTACCCCACACACACGCACACACTACATGTTCTACCTCAAAGCAATAAATCTAACAGACGCAGATGCCTTTATTTTCAGTAGTTAAAAATTTAATGCATATGCTGAACATTCAGAATGCTCGTTTTGTTTCTTTCCTGAGCAGAAACAGCTTTTTTCCTGCTGTTGTGTTCTGCACCAGAACAAAACTACACCTTAGAACCAAATATAATTGAGGTTTCTTCTGAACACTGTGCAAATATTGGGTCATAACTATTAAAATAACACTAATAACTGCGGCATTTATTCAGTAAATATTTTTTTTTCCCCACTTAGTTTTTAATCAGCTGAGTTTAAGGCAAAATCAAGCTTATTACATTTAAAACTCTAAAAATACCAACTGATCACATTTTTAAATCCTCATAAACATGTTTACCTGCTGCTTCTTAACTGTGTCAGTGCAAACGGCAGAGAGAACAGCAGCAGCAGCTCACGTTTGTTTATTTGCGTCTCCTAGTAACGGGAAAACGTGAGAGTTTGCGTGAGTTGAGTGAGCTTCATTCGGTTTAGCTACAGCTGAAAAGTAGTGTGTGATCCCTAATTGTTTAGTGTGGATCCCCAAAATTTCAGTTGCCCAAAAAAATCAGAAACCAGTCTGACAGTGTGAGACACCCAGTCTTTTATGATCAGATAAGACTTTGTGTAGTGTAGTAATTTGTGTAGTGAACCCAAGGCTCAAGGACGAAACCTTGAGAGGAACCAAGACTCCAAAGGGGAACCCATCCTTCTCTGGTCCACACCGGATAGCAGACAAAAACACAGGAGAATATGTTTCTTATTTCAGTGTTTGTGTCTGTGTGTGTTGTAGCCGGAGATCTGGGGTAAGGTGCAGGTGTGGCGTCAGGCGGCTACGCAGGTGTTTTTTGCGCTGGGATTGGGTTTCGGGTTCGGTTATTGCGTACTCCTCCTACAACCCGCGCAACAACAACTGTCACCGTGACGCCATCACTGTCTCAAGCGTCAACTTCTTCACCTCCGTCCTGGCCTCACTGGTGGTGTTCGCCGTGCTGGGATTCAGAGCCAAAATCTTCGCCAAGGAATGCGTCATACGGTACACACACACACACACACACACACACACACACACACACTCACACACACACACACACACACACACACACTCACACACACACACACACACACACACACACACACTCTCTCACACACACACACACTCTCACACACACACACTCACACACACTCACTCACTCACACACACACACACACACACACACACACTCTCTCACACACACACACACTCTCACACACACACACTCACACACACTCACTCACACACACACACACACACACACTCACACACACACACACTCTCTCACACACACACACACACTCACACACACTCACTCACACACACTCACACACACACACACTCTCACACACACACACTCACACACACACACTCTCACACACTCACACACACACACACTCTCACACACACACACTCACACACACTCACACACACACACTGATGTTATTCGTCTCTCAGGGTGTGGAGGGTACAGGTTTGATGTTTATTGAGAATTTCTGAATTGCTGATGGCTGTACCACTTTGGCACCGTTTTTGTTGCAGTACCATTGTAACTACCTCCGGCCCCTACATGTCATGCAGAGACAGTGTAGCTTGCATGTCAGTCAAGCGGCTCTTGCCAAAGTAGCCGTTTCTTGGCCACATTAAGCGTCTAAGTTCACCAAACTGCATAGTTTGGCTTGTGGGACTAACTCAATCTGTACATTACCATTAATCATTAGTTGGAATCTGTTTGTCCATAGTAATAAACGTTAAGTCTTCACGTTAGTCATTCATTCCAAAATAATATATATTTCAGGCTAATTGTTGTTAATCTTAGCCTATATATTGAGGTTAATGCTAGCTTTATTCGTGCCAGTGTGGATATGTACGGGTGTCTATATTGTGGTAACCTGAACCGTATGTGTCTGTTGCAGTAATCTGAAGTTGGTATCTGAGGCTGGTATTCCTTCTCTGCTCATCAACATGACTGAGCCGGAGTCCGTCTCTTTAGAGACGTATGCACGCTGGTACGAGTTTCAAGGCAAGGGGCTGTACATCAATGACACCAACATCACATCCTGTAAGCTGGACGATGAGATGAAGAAGGTACACAGACGCCTTTTTATATGAAAAACAGTACTGTGAAAAAAATCCAGACTCATCTGGACAGTGAGTTTTTCTTGTAAAGCGTTATAGTAGAATAAATCTTGAGAATTTCTGTTTGTCTCTCAGGGTGTAGAGGATACAGAGGTATTTCATAAAGCAAGTCATCTTAATAAGCTGGATATCTCAGGCCAAAAGTTAAAGACTGTCCAATAGGAATTTTCCTTAGCTCTTTTCTTATTGGACAGCCTAAATTTTCATGGCTTATCAAGGGTAATCGAGAAATCCTGCTCTGGTCTCTCTTTCAGGGTGTAGAGGGTACAGGTTTGGAGTGTATTGAGATTTTGGTCTCTCTTTCAGTGTGTAGAGGGTACAGGTTTAGAGTGTATTGAGATTGTCTGGTCTCTCTTTCAGGGTGTAGAGGGTACAGGTTTGGAGTGTATTGAGATTGTCTGGTCTCTCCTTCAGGGTGTAGAGGGTGCAGGTTTGGAGTGTATTGAGATTGTCTGGTCTCTCTTTCAGGGTGTAGAGGGTACAGGTTTGGTGTGTATTGAGATTGTCTGGTCTCTCTTTCAGGGTGTAGAGGGTACAGGTTTGGAGTGTATTGAGATTTTGGTCTCTCTTTCAGGGTGTAGAGGGTACAGGTTTGGAGTGTATTGAGATTTTCTGGTCTCTCTTTCAGTGTGTAGAGGGTACAGGTTTGGAGTGTATTGAGATTTCTGGTCTCTCTTTCAGGGTGTAGAGGGTACAGGTTTGGAGTGTATTGAGATTATCTGGTCTCTCTTTCAGGGTGTAGAGGGTACAGGTTTGGAGTTTATTGAGATTCTGGTCTCTCTTTCAGGGTGTAGAGGGTACAGGTTTGGAGTGTATTGAGATTTTGGTCTCTCTTTCAGGGTGTAGAGGGTACAGGTTTGGAGTGTATTGAGATTATCTGGTCCCTCTTTCAGGGTGTAGAGGGTACAGGTTTGGAGTGTATTGAGATTCTGGTCTCTCTTTCAGGGTGTAGAGGGTACAGGTTTGGAGTGTATTGAGATTTTGGTCTCTCTTTCAGGGTGTAGAGGGTACAGGTTTGGAGTGTATTGAGATTTTGGTCTCTCAGGGTGTAGAGGGTACAGGTTTGGAGTGTATTGAGATTGTCTGTTCTCTCTTTCAGGGTGTAGACGGTACAGGTTTGGAGTGTATTGAGATTGTCTGGTCTCTCTTTCAGGGTGTAGAGGGTACAGGTTTGGAGTGTATTGAGATTTTGGTCTCTCTTTCAGTGTGTAGAGGGTACAGGTTTGGAGTGTATTGAGATTTTCTGGTCTCTCTTTCAGGGTGTAAAGGGGAAAAGGTTTGGAGTGTATTGAGATTGTCTGGTCTCTCTTTCAGCGTGTAGAGGGTGCAGGTTTGGAGTGTATTGAGATTTTGGTCTCTCTTTCAGTGTGTAGAGGGTACAGGTTTGGAGTGTATTGAGATTGTCTGGTCTCTCTTTCAGCGTGTAGAGGGTGCAGGTTTGGAGTGTATTGAGATTGTCTGGTCTCTCTTTCAGGGTGTAGAGGGTACAGGTTTGGAGTGTATTGAGATTGTCTGGTCTCTCTTTCAGGGTGTAGAGGGTACAGGTTTGGAGTGTATTGAGATTGTCTGGTCTCTCTTTCAGGGTGTAGAGGGTACAGGTTTGGAGTGTATTGAGATTGTCTGGTCTCTCTTTCAGGGTGTAGAGGGTACAGGTTTGGAGTGTATTGAGATTATCTGGTCCCTCTTTCAGGGTGTAGAGGGTACAGGTTTGGAGTGTATTGAGATTTTGGTCTCTCTTTCAGGGTGTAGAGGGTACAGGTTTGGAGTGTATTGAGATTTTGGTCTCTCTTTCAGGGTGTAGAGGGTACAGGTTTGGAGTGTATTGAGATTTTCTGGTCTCTCTTTCAGGGTGTAGAGGGAACAGGTTTGGCGTTCATTGCGTTCACTGAGGCAATGACATTGTTTCCAGCATCTCCATTTTGGTCAGCAATGTTCTTCCTCATGCTCTTGAACCTCGGTCTGTCCACCATGTTCGGCACCATGGCGGGAATCCTAACCCCCCTGACCGACACCTTCAAAACGCTCCGCAAACGCAAACTATGCTTCACAGGTACACAAACAATCCAGTCCTTTTTTTTTTTCTAAATCATGATTTTGTTGTGTCCTGATCAGACACTCACAGTCTAGTTTTATTGTGGGATGGTTGGATTGAAATGTACTATTTTATATACCCATCACCATGTTCTCCTGTGTCTCTCTCTCTCTCTCTCTCCTCTCTCTCTCTCTCTCTCTCTCTCTCTCAATCAGCATGTAGCTGTGCAGTCGGCTTTGTGATTGGTCTGTTGTTTACGCAGCGCTGTGGGAATTACTTTGTGGTGATGTTTGATGATTATTCAGCAACACTGCCGCTCATCATCGTCGTTGTTTTCCAAACTATCAGCATCGCCTGGGTGTACGGGGCAGACAGGTAAAGTGGGACTGTGCATGTATGGATCATTATACAATGTAGTGTCTGGATCTTATGGCCAGTAATCACTATATATAGTCAGGGGAGAATAAGTAGACCCCATTAAATGTTTAGTTTTCAGTTAAACAGCATGTATAGATAAGACTTGCTTAATAGATCCAAAAACATGGAAATTTGACTCTGCCATCATTTATTTAAAAGTAAATGAACTGATGTCACCCCTGGCTTCAGTAACTGGTACCGCACCCTTTGGCAGAAACATCTTTATGAAGACGTTTCCTATAACTGTCTAACAGTGTCCGACATCTACTGGGAGAAATTTCTTGCATGTACAGCCTCTTTAATATCCCTCCACAGCATTTCAGTGGGATTCGGATCTGGGCCTTGACTTGGCCATTCCACAAACCTCCATTTCTTCTTTTTGAGCCATTCCTTGGTGGATTTTCTTGTATGTTTAGGATCATTATCCTGTTGGCAAGTCCACTTTTTCAGCTTCAGCTTTTCTACAGATGGTCTCGCATTCTTCTCAGTCACTCTCTGGTATGAAAGAGCTTTCATAGATGATTCTGTGATTTCAAGTTGGCCAGCATAGCAGCCCCAAACCATAACACTGCCACCTCCATGCTTTACAGATGGTATGAGGTTCTTCTGATCAAATGCTGTTTGTGTTTTTTGCCAAACATGGTTTCTGCTACTGTGGCCAGACGCCAGCTAACTCTGCTACTTACTCTTCACATACTCTGCTGAACAAAAAATGGCTAATGTTAGCATACAGCGGTGAACATACACTTATTGAAGCTAACTAACACTGCTAATGAACATTCTCTGCTGAGTGAAAATAGCAAACTCTATCTAAGGGAAAATGGCGTCCGTTTTTGTTTTTTTGCTTTGTTGCTCAGGCCTGTTTGAGCGTGATATAAATGTTGTGGAGCTGTTGCTGATTCGGGTTCTTCTGGCTGTATGTTTGCATGTTTTCTCAGGTTCCTGGAGGACATAAGGCAGATGCTGGGCCGGCCGGTGTGGGGGGTGTATAAGTACCTGTGGAAGTATGTGTGTTTGTTAGCCATGGTGGGGCTGCTCGGTGCCAGCTTAGTCCGAATGTGCCTCAGCAGACCCAAATATACAGCCTGGAACAGAGAGAAGGTGCGCACACACACACACACACACACACACACACACACACACACACACACACACACACACACACACACACACAGACTCAGAGCCCACCAGCATCAGAGTCAACAACAGCATTTCTGCTCTAGCCCAGCTCCCCACACACCTGGATCAGGTGTTCAGTCTTGATGGCTTTGTTTAGGTGTGTTTGGCAGCTGGTTAAGAGCAGAAATATGGATCTGAGGACTGGACTGAGAAGCACTGTCCTAACTCAACACCGAGTGGCCACATCATTAGAAACACCCTACCTTACGCTTCCACTCAGTGGCCAATTTATTGGAAACGTACCTTGTTTTTCCTCTAAGTGGCCACTTTATTAGAAACACTTAACTTGAACTTCCACTCACTGGCCACTTTATTAGAAACACCTAACTTGTGCTTCCACTAAGTGGCCACTTTATTGGAAATGCCTACCTGGTACTTCCACTCACTTTATTAGAAGCGCATAAGTGAACACTTACAGACTTTCCATCTGTTTTTGTCCACTCTTCTCCAGATATTATCTGGGTGATGGCTGTAGTGTATGTGTTATATGTATGTATAATTTCTGTGTATGTGTTTTCTCCAGGCAGTGGAGGAGGAATTGGACTATCCTGATTGGGCACTGGCTGTCCTTTCATCTCTCATAGTCATCGCAGTGCTGCCGGTTCCTCTGGGATACGCCCACTCTGTCCTGCAGCAGCGCGCAGGGCAGTCAGCTCTGGACACCGAGGCAGGATACACCCCCTGCAGCACCACAGATACTGACTCCGTCCCCAATGGTACTGCTATGACTGAGGAGAACTTCAGTCTCCTTGCACGCAGTGAGGGTGCGGAAGAAGGGGAGGCGTCTACCAGAGTATAAACACAGGAGTGAACAGCAAACAGGAGAGTTACTGAAGACTTTTATTGCACAAAACAGCCCAGTGTGCCAGACTGGCTGAGAGGGTCCACCTGCGGCTGGAATCAACCCAGTATCACAGACAGTCAAACATGCTGTATTTTTTTTATAAAGGTCCTGAACTGTCCTTATCTGTATTTAGACGCAGATGTGAACAGTTTTACTGCTGTGCAGTAATGAGTTGATTCATGGAAACTTTCAGTACTTTAGCAGTAACTTTTACACCAAGTGTGCAGCCACACTGAGCCTTTTCAGCCTCCTTCTAAACACAGTCCTTTTAGTTTACTGCCAGCTCAGCTTGACTCAGCTGTGTTTTATTTGTGTTGGTCCAATTTGTTTGATATTTAACTTCAAGGCTGTTTTAGGCACAAGTGGCACAACCTTCACCTCCTTAGGCATGGAGTGGACAGTCAGTGCCATCATGAGTGCCCAGCTGGCCACATCACTGTGCCAGACAGTGCTGTACAGAGTTCATGTAGTAAAGGGTCACAACTCAACTGTACACATTTAGATTTTTGTTCTTTTTAAAGCATTGCTGGCCAACACAGTTCTTTAGTTCCTTCCCTTTTTATCTTTCATTTTAAACAAGGACGTAGGATGTTTAGTGGCATAAGCTGATTGGTATCCACTTGTTTGACACACCATCTCCAAAACGTACAGGAGTATTTGTTGTTACCATGTGGGAGGTGGAGTGCTTACAACCACTTACACAGCTGTTGCTTTTATGTTGTGTCATTTTGCGATATTTCAAAATGGACAAGAACAAGGTTTAGCTGGCTTATATGGTCACCAAGTATGTGGACATTTTCACTTATTTTCAAGCCGTCTTCAATAAATGTCAAGCCACCTAATTAACAACTGCTAAGCGTTAAACAGTGCTGCTAACTGGGACAGAGGAGCTGGTCAGCGTTAGCTTGGCTAGTGTGATAACAGCTCTGCTCACCACAGAACATGCTGGATTCTGGGTGACTAAAGCACCGACACAAGTTTAGATGATAATGACTCAAATATTTAGGAGTGAAGTGGGGCAGCTGGACCTGAAGGGACAGAAAGGAGAACCTGTTCTGTGGTGTTTGGTTCTGTAAACAGCAAACAGACCAAACAGAGCTGCACACCACAGTACAGGCTTGACTCTGCTGACACAGTCGGCCAAGCAAGTTGGGTTACTGGGACTCCATCATCTTTGGTATTCCAGGGACAACAGTGATTGGTTGATTTGAGTTTGTATTACCTTCAAAAGTTTGGTGAGGATGTTATCAGTATGGCAAATGGTTGAATTAATTTATTGACGTGCATGTAAATCTCCATCGTGAGACCAACTTTACTTTGTTGAAAATGACTACAGCAGTAACTGTGCTTGTTTTATGTCGGACCAAACACCCACACTAACATCCGCCGGTGTAGCTGTACTGCGGGTGGTCACTTTGCGTCCCAAATTGGGAACGTATTTACTTCCAACCTCATTTTTGTCACAGGGAACAGAATTTTTATAGCCATAAATCAGTGAGCAGTTCTGTCACTGATGTGCCTCAAGTCTTTCCCACAGTCTGTGCACAGCATTCATAGTTCAGGAACTGTCGAACACAAACGTTGGTTTGTTTGGACCATCAGCTTTAGTGTCAGAAGACTTCTATTATTCCTTCTTGTATGTTTAAAGACTTTTCCTGTAATGGATCTAAAAGGCCTTGTTGACACCTTGTGCTTCACATGCACAAAGAAAGTGCCAATTATTGTTTTGTTGTTACTTGGAATTTTCTAAATTTTTGATGTACAGTTTTTGTTGTAGATTTTTTTTAGAATGATTTTAATGATGTTTTTATTTTGTTTTTAAAAGTCACTTGTATCTGTACGTAATGAAACATGCACCAGCTGTTTAAAAGGTTTAAATTAACTCAAACAGGGTAAAAAAAGGAACTAATGTTGCAGCAGAGACAAAAGTCATTCCATCCCAAATCACTCTACTCCACTCATTAACTACACCTTATAAAAAATGGGGTTCTTCAAGGGTTCCTTAGTGCCCAGTGGCCACAACAACTCAGAGACCCAGAGGAAAGAGATATTCTGAGTGAGATCTCCTCTTGATCTCAGGTTCTTCTCCTGGACACAGTTCAGTCCAGTTTAAATCAGAGTGAGACTGAAGCCGTTTTCTCCTGATTCTGAGATTCAGCTCCAGAGAAATAAAACTCTGATTTTCTCACTTCGATCAAAATGTGGTCCCACATGTGGATTAACTCTTTAGTGTCTGACTCGTCTCAGCCCTGCCTCAGCTGAGTGAAATCTCCATGAGAAAAGTGAGATCTCACCGTTTTCTTATTCAGCTCTGTTCTAGATCACAGAACCCTCTCAGCAGTCCGTTAGTGCAGAAGGAGAACTCACGCTTTTCTCCTTCATCACCAGAACGTCTCTCAGTGAGACGCTGATGTTGATCTCCTCTTTTCTCCTGAGGAGGTTCAACTCAGAAATCAGTGATTCATTATGGTCAGCAGTTACATTCTCAGTTGCAGCTATTATTGAGGGGTCCAAGCACTTAAGTCGGATCACCGTTACACATAGATAGGCAGATAGGTTTACATTCTAAATGTGTAAAATGTGGACCAGATTGGCCATTAGGGGGCGTACAAATGAATTTAAAAAGCATTAAAACCTAATTTGCCATTATCTTCTTTTATCTTGTGAATAAGTAGTGGATGTCATGTGATTCACCGGGGCAAAAGGTCAATTTGTACAAAACTTAACATCTTAGAAGGTTCCTGGACAACAGACATGTTTTTAGAACTCCTTTCATTTATCTTCTGTCTGTAAAAACATCAGATACTGGTGCATAAGACTTCAGTGTGCTGAACAGTACTTGGACCCCTGCAAATTGCCGCTTGTGCCTGTTTTATTTTTATTATTCCTTTTATGTTTTTGTTATTGTGTATGCTTTTCATGGTTAAAAGACCTTTTAAATGGTTCTATATTGCACCAAAAAGGGCTCCACTAATGTTACAAGTCATAGAACCTTTTGGAATTATACAGAACTTGTTTTGCTGAGTGGACATGGATATTATGTATTACTGCATTACATTGATATCAGCTGATATTGTCCATTTTGATGAGTGTCCGTTAACTCTGCAGCTCGGTTACTCAGATTTTGGAGAAACTTTGTTGCGCTAAGCTCATTTAGCTAAAGGCTAAAAGGTCAAAAAAAAACCAAAAAAAAATTAACTTTCTAGTAGCAGTAACACTACTAAAGTACTTTACTACCAAAGTTTCTAAATGCACTAAAGGAAGTTTAAGTTTTGTTTGGTCATTTATTTTTAAATTTTGTGTTTCTTACTTTTTTTTTTTTTAAATATTGTTATTGAGTGGACACAAGCTTATCTTTGAGTGGTTTGGTATGGAATGACTTCTGCCAGTAGATTTTACATAATGGTACACATGTTCAACACAGTTTGTGAAGAAAACATCCGTTATTTATTAAAATGTTATTTAATTGTATAAATTGAATCCCTTTGAAGGTGAACAAAACTGGACCACAGTCTGTGCTTAGAAACATACCTGTTTCTTTATGTAAAGTCTTTTAATTGTAATATATTTTGTCTTTAAATATAACTTGACAATTTTTTTTCCATTATTAGTTTCTTTGGTTTTCTAACAAACAATGATTTATGTTCTTGTTGAAATCTATAGTTGTAATGTTTTAATGGAGCTCTCTGATTGGCTATAATGTTTTTAAGTGAGCTCTCTGATTGGCTATAATGTTTTTAAGTGAGCTCTCTGATTGGCTATAATGTTTTACGGTGAGCTCTCTGATTGGTTGTAATGTTTTAGTGGATCTCCTGAACTGGACTGTAGTCAAGTTTCAGTTGCACTTCTTCCTGGTCAGCAGTTTAATTGTTTACGGACCAATTTTAAGATGACTTCATAACCTCTTATTGCAGTTTTTCCCTCTGAGATTCTGGCTGGTGTACAGACAGAGTTCATCAGTATTAACTCTAATAAACCCTGCTGGACTGTTACAGTTCACGGAGGGGAAGTGAGTGGGGATTAAAACGTGGGGCAGTTCTTTCTTGGTTTACATTCTTTGTCTGAGTCTTCCTGTATAGAAGCTTTTGTACAAACTATGAACACCTCTGTAAATATATGCAATCGTCTGTAAATGTTGAGTGCTGGCTGTACTGTTTCACGTGGATACAAGCGGAACATTTCTAGTGCTTTAACACAGTTTTTAATTTAAAATGATAAATAAAGAATGTCTGTTCTGACTGAAAATGGGTCCTCTATTTATACTTTCACCACCACCACCACCACCACCACCCACCACCACAAAACCTGTCCAAACACGAAAACATCAGTAGTGCAAATGTGAGAAGTGTTTCCTTTCTTACTTCTATTATATTCAAGTTTACATTTACATTTACAGCATTTAGCAGATGCTCTTATCCAGAGCAACTTACAAAAAGAGTTCACATTAAAGAATGTATATAAACATGCACATTTAGTCCAAAACAGATTTAGTGCAGAAGGGTAGAGGTATGTGCAGGTAAGCAAAGGATAAAAGTAAAAGAAAATATATAGTATATAATATATACATACAAAATCATCGCTGTCAGGAAAAAAATCTCTAAAACGGTAACTGTACGGGAGAAACAATATATTTAGAATAATTATTTATTCCAAGTAATTTTGGATGTTTTCAGTTGGCCTGTTCGTTGGGAACCTTTCGACACAATATAGTATATAATAAAGTTCAACTGTTTCAAATTATGTCAAAAAAATTGAAAGCTGACAAAATCAGAGATAATAAGGATTTGTCCCAATAGTGACTATATACCCTGCTAGCAAAAGCACCATAACCAGCATATGTTGTGTTTTGATGCTGGTGGTGACCAGTTAAACCAAAACCAGACCAGCTTAGAACAACATAATATACATGCTGGTCTGTCCTGTTTTTTCAGCAGGGTGCATATGTGACATATTAAATTTGCATTAATAATTCTCTTTAATATTTCAGCTTGCATTGGAATTTGCTGTAGAGTGACGTTTATTTCATTCTGATTTAGAGAATAGTAAACTAGTTAACTGACTAAAATATAGAACTGGCAGCTCTGGAACAAACTGCCAACAACTAGCCAACTACAGCAGCGCTGCTTATTCACAGATATAAAGCACGGCCAGCTACAGGTCAGCTAAAGACTCCAGGCTACCAAACAGAAGTGAGGCTGCAAATTGAATTGTTGCATTCAGGATTTGGTCTCGTCTCAAACTGTTCCCTCTTAACGGTGTAGCTGAATGATAACGTGAGCGAACAGCTTAACTACAAGAAGTTATCAGGATAGCAAACTGGGTACTCAGAACGGTTCTTAAGGGTTCTTTAATAAAGGCAATGTTTCTATATAGAACCATATCATGCTTAAGTGGTTCTCTGCATGGTCTAATGGTTCTTCAGATTGATGGAGAATGTGTTGTATAGGTTAGAAAGAGCATCAACGTTCCGCTACTGTTACAAGCTTTTTGGTGCTGTGAAGAACCATCTACACCATATTCTAAATCAATCTGAAGAACGATTTCATTATGCAAAGAACCATTTAATCATGCAAATGATCTTGTTCAGGACTCCCGGTTCTAAACAGAATCACTGTCTTTACTAAAGAATCTTTTTTTTTTACTAAAGAGTCTTTTTAAGCTTGTAGGCGTAACAGTGAAGATGATTAATAGTAATTAAAAGTAATTATAACTGCCTAAGGCAGTCACTCATGTCAGCGGTTCTCGAACCACTCATCAACGTTCCACGTTTTTGTGCTACTCTAGTTTCTAGAACGCTGGAACAAAAGCCATTACAATCACTGAGTAACTGCTTCAGGAGTGATGGGACCCCGGTAGATCAAAAACATGGACCACCTGTCATAAAAACACAATACAGCAACTATAAATACAATAAATAGCTGAATATTTTATATTCAATGTCATCATATAACGTCGCTGCACCCTTTAGTGGAAGACTGGAATAAAGCTAAGTTCATCCTCCTGGTAGATGGCCTGGTGCTGGTCTACGCTGGATATAATTGGCACTGTGCGATCATGCGTGATGGTCTGGGGACTCGGTTGCCGTGGCTGCGTGCTCCTCCCTGGAAAGAAGGGAGCTGCAAACACAGAGAGAGAGAAAGAGAGAGAGAGAGAGAACACCTGAAGAAAGGCCAGAGAGAAACACCTGAGCTACAGGTACAGCTTTATTCCTTCAGCTTCACCCACAAACACTCAGTTATCTCACTTATCAGCTTTAGTTCAGCAGGTGATTCACACAGAGCAGGACTCAGCCTTAAAACAGAACATTTAGCTCAGGAAATACGCTTTACTCACTAGTGAGATCCAGGATTTACTATAGTGTGATTTACAGTGAGATCCAGGATTTACTATAGTGTGATTTACAGTGAGATACAGGATTTACTATAGTGTGATTTACAGTGAGATACAGGATTTACTATAGTGTGATTTACAGTGAGATCCAGGATATACTATAGTGTGATTTACAGTGAGATACAGGATTTACTATAGTGTGATTTACAGTGAGATACAGGATATACTATAGTGTGATTTACAGTGAGATACAGGATATACTATAGTGTGAATTACAGTGAGATACAGGATATAACAATATGTGCATTATGATTTACAGTGTGATATACAGTATATTACAGTATGATATGTATTATAGACTACAGTATGATTTACATTACATAACTGAATTACAGTATGATATGCATTATATACTGCAGTGACGGTACAATAAACAGCATTATATACTACCGTTTGATACCAAGTATATTACAGTATGATATACAGTATGATACGCATTATATACTACAGTATGATTTACATTACATAACTATGAATTACAGTATGATTTACATTACATAACTGAATTATGGAATGATATGCATTATATGCCAAAGTATGATTTACAGTATATAACAGCATCATTTACAATATGATATGCATTATATATACT